TGGGCTGAGGGGGCTGCAGCTCAGGGCTGTACCTGCAGCCTCTGCTGCTTCAGACATGCAAAGATTTGGGGCATTCCCAGGGCCTGGTAGTCTAATTCCTGCGATAATTGCAACAACAGGAAAGGGGAGCTTTCTTGGAAGCTGCAAGATGACTGAAATCTATCAGGAAGAGCCAGGAGGCATGACCACACCCTGGCCAGGGAGGACCGGGCACTGTTTGGGTGTGGGTTGGGTGCACCTCTCACACACCCTGGTAGCTTCGCCCCCTGTTCCTGCCCGAAGGTGAGAGGAGAGTGAGGGTGACACGAAGGGATCAGATGTGGTGGCAGTACCGAGTGCCACCCTCTGTGTCCTGCCCGGGGGGACCGTCCCTCCATGGGGCTGGGACAGCAGCGTCCCTGCAGGGCCAGAGCTGGCAAGGAGGACACAGAGGCAGAAATGGGGCCCTGGGGAGCAAAGGGCAGCTCTGATGGCGAGGGCACACGGTGCTTTGATCCTTGTGCTTTAACTGGCCGTGGTGTCTGGTGCTCCTCCACAGCTGCTGGGCTCATCGATCCTGAGCTCCTCCTGCTCACACAGCCACACTCAGCACTGCTGATCTTATCCACAGATCTCAGATGCCTGCATGAGGCAACCCAGAGGCGTAAGGGAGTTCTCTGCCATCCTGTTGGCAGCCAGGCGCCGACAGTGCAAGAGGGTGACAAGAACAGGCGTGCAGCGAGGCGGCTGCAGCGTCACTACAGCTAGACTGGCTCAGCAGGGCTGCTGGGACACGAGGGCTGCTGCTCTAGGAAAGGCAGGGTGGTGTGGCTTCATTGGGGCAGCAGGAGCCAGTTCGCCAGGCTGGACACAAGGACTCTGAAAGGTTCACCTAACTCCCAACAATGAAAGTCCCTTGTTGTGCTGCTGATTTACCTTCCTAGTGTGCAGAGCTTGGGGAGAACTTGGGAAAAAGCAGAGCAATCCCTTCACACTGCCGGCTCCAGCCACTTCAGACAGGACGTTTCTTGCTGTGCCACTGCCACCTCTCCTGGGCACCGAGGAAAGAGCACCCCTCAGTCCCTCCAGAGCACCCATCAGCTGGGCCATGAACCTGGCTTGGCCTGCCATAAGGCAATTCACAGAAAGCTTCCTTTCCTGGGCCTGGCCCAGGTCAGACTGTCTCAGCACAGAGCCATGCAGCAGTGGGAAGGCTGGGAGCCTAGTGGGGATGGGAAGGACACGGCTGGGAGTGCTTAGATTAGCTCCAGCAAACACATTCAGAAAATATGGCTTTTTAGTTAACAGGGTCAAGAAGAAGAACTTCCTGACTAATCTTCCCAGGGTTAAATAAGTCCAGGGGAGCTGCACCCCGTTGCAGGACTGGCTCTGCCACAGCGAGTGCAGTGGGTGCATCTTCCCCCATCCACTGCTCACCTCACACCTGCTGCAAGGTGCATTTGAGACATCCCTATCTCAGACAGCATTAGGAAAAATAATGATGAAAATAATAATAATAATAATAATAATAATAATAATAATAATAATAATAATAATAATAATAATAATATAAGGAAAAGAGATATTAGCAAACCAAGCACATCAAATCCATAAGCCTCTGCAGAGCTAAGAGCAGAAGGGGGTGCAGAGGAGAGGAGCCCGGCTGTTGCTCTGTAGACAGCTCTCAGCACGTGGTGGTTCACACACACAGGACGTTGTTCAACAACCGAGCGTTATTGCTATGCTTCCATTTCCAGTCTAATCATTAAGCTTTACAGCACCAAGCCCTGCCCGTTCCATCGCTGTGGGCGGCTGTGCTCCTCAGTCTGTGCTTTCAGGAGCGCGGCGCGGGCCGGAGCTGAGCGCGCCCTTTGGACTCCTGAGGAGTGCAGAGCACTGACTGATGCACCTACAGATCCCTGTGACACCTTACAGGCTAAGGGGGGAGGCTACGAGAGCCCCCCACTCCAGGAGGGGAGGGCAGGCCCTGCCTGGGCCCCAGGGGCTCTCAGGCTCCTGGTGGCTCCAGCAGCCTTCTCAGTAAAAAATAGGAATACTGTCTTTTTGATTTTTTTTTGGATCATTTTGATCTCTTTGATCATTTTATATAAATACAAAGATTAAAATAATTTATCTCAACATTATTTCTATTACAATCATACAGTGTTTTCCCTTCAAAACAAGTGCACGTATGTGTGTGTATATATATATATATAAGTGTATATATAGTATCTCTAGAGCTTCCCTCCCCCCTAAGAAAAGCAGCAGTGACTGAAGCAGGTACAGCACGCAAGAGCTGATCCTTCCTGCTCCAAGGCAAATGTGCCCAAGGAAAAGTGCAGGGCTCACCCTGACAACTCATCTCCAAGCACATTACATTGGCATGAAGGGGGGAGCAGGGGTGCTGGCTCTCCCTCCCTTGGGGAGCCCCCTCTGCCTGCCCGCCCGCGGGGCTCCAGACCTGCCCAGCTGGGCAGGGACCGGCATGGGGGACTGCAATGAGATCAACTCCTTGAGCAAGCTGCTAATTACTGCTGGAGAGGAAAGGGCCCTGCAGCTCAGACAGGGTTGCTTCATTTACATACTAGGCACTACGGATGATGATTGCTAGGAAGGTATTTACATAGGAGAAGGATTATACTTCTCCCTCCACTTTTCAATGCTCAGTCATAAACACCATGATCTCATGAAGAAGTTTGTAATAAGGATGCAACACACTGTGTCTATCAGGATTGTCTAGGAAGGATGGGAAGGAGCTGTGCACACCCCAGCTGCAGCAACAGCCGAGCACACAGGGACAGGCGTCGCCTCTTTCACCCCAGGACAGGGGAGACAAATCTGCAGCAGAACCTCTCAGAACCTGAGAGAAACAGCGATTTCCAGAGGCCAGTACGGGCACAACACTCCCAGAACTGTGCCGCTGGAGCCCTGGGGCTGCTCCCCTCACAGACCGGCCCTCTGTGCCCCCGAGGGTGGGTGAGAGCAGGGCCCCAGCACACCCAGCTCGCCCTGAGCGGGGCTTGGCAGAGCCTGCCTGGGTCACTGTGCACAGGGAAACAGCGGGATGCATTCTGCAGCCTTGCCGGGGAGCTCAGGGCTTTCTCCCTCATGTAGCTGTTCCTCAGAGCCCAGCAGGGCGTTACCAGAGCCCCCCGTGCTGCCCTGCACCTGCCCAAGCTGTGCGGGCAACCTGGGCATGGGGAGCTCTGCAGGGACGGCCTGTGAGCGCCCTGCTGGGCTCCCTGCAGCCTCCCACAGCTGCTGCAGTCTGCGAGGCGAGCTGGGGCTCCTGGGGCTCTGCACCGCCCAGGCAGCAGCTCCAGCTACCTCGGGGGCTGCAAACATTTCCCACTGGAGCTTCTGTGCCCCAGGAGCTGCACACCTCGGCCTGGCTTGAAGCCAGGCTGCTGCCTGGGCACTGTGAGGGGAGCCCTGCCCAGCGTGGCTTTGCTGGGCTCTTTCCCAAACCCAGAACCCAGGGCTGTGTTAGGGACCATGGGAGCAGCTGGGGAGTCCCAACCCTCAGGTCTTGCCCTCCAAAGCCTGACTAGTCACATAACAGCCAAAGAAAAGGTACAAAAGCCACTAATTTCTGCCCTGCTAGTGCAGCTCATATGCTTTGGGGTTTGTTTTTACTAAAGAGCTGGTTGGCGACTGCTGCTGTAAATCTCATAAAGCATTTTAATAGAGTATATAAATATTGGACTACAAAAATAGACAGCTCTGACTGCACGGGCACACTGAGGGTGAGTGTGGGCAGGCCAAGCCTCGCTAGTCTATGAGAGTGATGTCCTTCAAGAGGTTTCAAACTGAACTGGAAGGAAATGGGGTTGGATGTCACCCTGCAGCTCCCTCCTGCCCACAGCAGCCGCGGGGCAGGGAGGTCCTGCGGGAGGCTGCTGCCCAGGGGCTGGCAGGGCGCTGGCTGCAGGCAGGGCCGCTCCCGGCCGGCCAGCCGGGCGGGCAGCCCACACGCCAGGGTGCAACCTGCCCTGGAGCTGCCCTGGGCACCACCGCAGCACAGTGACCTTCGCCCTGCCCCTACAGTGGTGTTTCACAACACCCAGGGAGAGATTGTAAAGCTGACGGTTTGGTGGAAATGGGGCAAGGCTGCCCCGGCGGGGCGAAGGCAGCTGGGTATGGCCGCTGTGCTGGGAAGGACGGGAGGCAATGCGGGAGGACCGGGCGCTGCTCAGCCCTCAGCAGCGAGCCCAGACCTGGCTGCGGATGAGACTGAGAACCACAATGCTGGTGCCGAGGAGAGCACGGGGTGCAGCCCTGCTCCGGCAGCACGTGGAGCCCGGCTGCAGCGGCCGAGGAGCCACGGAGTGTCCAGCAGGACGGACAATCCCGGCACTCGTCCAGCTGCCTTGTCCGAGTCCTGCGTGCGACCGCGATGAGGGGAATCCGCGTTGGAGACAGCGAAACTGCTGCACGGGGAGGGTGGGACAGGGCTGGCCAGCACAGCAGCACTGTCCCTGTGGAAGGGCATCCCTCCGTCACCCACGGGGTCCACCTCGTTCGGCTGCCTGCGCTCCGGAGAGCCCTGCTGGTGCTGTGCCCGGTGCCGGGATGGCCAGGCTGGGCTCACGCCGCGGCGCCGAGCCGTGTGCTGCACGGCCTGCTGCTGCTGTGCCCACTCCCAGCGCCCCTGGCCACGGAAACCAGCCCGGCGCCCGCTCTGAGGGCAGCAGCAGCGGGAAAATCTCATTTCTAAAACGCTTCCTCTTCTTTCTTTCTTTCCTTTTTCCTCGCAAGCTCCGGACAGGCGCTCGGACGTGTCCCCCTCGCAGCCCGAGCGCTGGATGCTCCCCTGTGCCGCGGCATCGCCGGTGACATCCCTGGCTCAGACCTTTCGGGGACCCTGCCTGGCTGCCGGTGGGTGGGAAGCGCGTGCAGGGCTCCGCTTTCGGCCGCCCCTTCCTCTCCACCGGGGATGGGGAAGGAGCCTCGGCCGGCGCCGCCCGGTGCCGCCGGGCTCAGGCCGTTCGGGCCGGTCGGGCCGCGCCGTGCCCTCGCCGCTACTCCTGGGCCCGGGGGGCACCGTGGGCACCGTGGGCACCGTGGGCACCGGAACCCTGCCTCTTGCTGGGCTCGCCCTTGGCCGACCTGGCCCTGGCCGCCGGCTCCTGCCGTGGGGCCCGCTGGCCCCGGGAGGCCGCGGCGGCGCCGGCCGGGGCGCGGGGCGGGCCCGGGGGCTCCGGCGGCGGCGGCGGCGGGCGCTGCGGGCCGTGCGGCCGCGGCGCGTACAGGAACAGCGCCGGGTCGGGCATGGCGTCGTGCTCCTCCGGCGCCGGGTCCCGGGGCCGGGCGCCGTCCCCGGGCGGGCGCCGGGCGGGCGCTCTGTGGCCGCGGCGGCGGGGCCGGGGCTCGGCCGGGGCCTGCTCGGGGGGCGGCCGCCCGCCCGCCCGGGGGCCCGGCAGCCGCTGGGCCGTGGCGTGCAGCTGCAGTGACAGGTAGGCGGCCGCCTCCGTCTGCTTCTGCAGCTCGGTGTCGAGGATGGTGACGCGGTGGCTCCGGCGCTTCAGCTCCTCCAGGAACCGGCGCTCCTTGCTGCGGAGGCTGGAGCGCAGCGCAGCCACCAGCGTCTCCTTGTGCTGCAGCTCCTTGCGCAGCTCCAGGTTGTCCTTCTCCTTCTCCTGCAGCTGCGCCTCCATCGCCCGGCACTTCTCCTCCAGCTCGCGGTCCAGGACATCTGTGGGTCAGGGCACAGAGGGGTCAGGATGGGGAGCGGGGGCTCAGCCCCACTGCTCCTGGCTGGACGTGGCTGCTGACCAGTCCCTGGTGCCAGCATGTCCCAGCAGTGCCATTGAGGCTGCTTGGGTGCTTCTTGAAGTCGGGAAAAAACCCCTTTGAGCTGCCCGAGCACGGGCTCACTGCCAGCACAGGCACAGGAACCCCGGCATGTGTAACACCCGAACGTGGGGTGACAGCAAAGGCAGTTTCAGTGGAGGATGTTGTTGCCATGGAACCTGCTGCCTATACCTTGCTGCAGTTTTAAAATTTCCCTAGGTAAGTAGCTTTTCACCCTAAAAGTGACTTTGAATGTGTGCAGAGGGTGTGGGGGAGCACACGGGCTGGAAGAGAAAAGGAAATTATGCAGGGAAACCATCAGCCCAAGTTTGGAGGACTTCTGGCCTCAAGCCCTGGGATTCCAGAGCATGGTTAGTCAGGATGGAGATGCTAATCCACGATTACAGAGGAATTGGGCTGCACTCAGCAGGGAAGAAGCCTCCATCCTGGGACGAGGGAGCGTGTTCTGGGGAATGCTGTCCTGGGGCAGGATGGCCAGGCAGCTTGGGGAATTGGCAGCTTGGGGAATTTGCAGCTTGGGGCTCTGGAGCCAAGCCCAATGGGCAGCAGGAGGGATGAGGACTCCTGACCCCAGCCCTGGCTGCCTGCTCCAGCACCCAGCCCTTGGCAGGGTGCAGGCTGGCACCTGCCCACGCTCCCAGGCCTGCCCAGGCCTGCTCCCATCCTCTGCAATAATCTGCTTTTTATGATGTGATTGGCAGCCACTTACAGCCTCAGCTCCTCAGTGTTTCTGCAGCTTTATAATGAGGTCTTAGGGAGGCAGTTGCAGGCAGTAATTATTGCATGAACGGCACTAGAAGAGCAATCATTTGATGGCATCGTAAATGAGGTGCTGCCCCATAAATGTGGCAAAGTGATTGTGCATCTCTAAAAGGCTGAAGGATGGGCAGGCACCAGGGATGAGACTCACTACGTTGTGGCTGGTGATGGCACCCGGTGGGCTGGGCACCAGGCCCTCTGCCAGCAAAGCCCTCGGGTGCAGAGAAGGGACCCCATGGGAGGGGCTGGGAGTTTGGAATTGCCATGGAGCCAGCCCTGGCACTGCGTGAGGGTGCCAAGGACCCCGCTGGCCCCAGTGGGAACAGCCCGCACCCACCCTGGACCGGCTGCCCTGGCGCTGAGGACAGGGCACAGGCTGGGGCTCGGTGCCAGGCACCGTGCCCAGGCAGCGCCAGGGAGGAGCTTCTGTTTCATCTGTGGGTAGAGGAGGGAGAGGAGCCAGGCTGCTCCCAGAGCAGCCCCTGCCGGCCGCGGGGCTCCCAGGCATCAGCAGCAGGCTGTGCACGCTGCCTTCCAGTCCTGCCCTCAGCCCCCTGCCCCTCAGGCACGGTCCTGTGCCGCCCCTGCAGCCCTGATGGGCCCCTCTGCACCCACACCTGCTCCCCCTTATCTTGAGCCCAAAGCTGTGCTCTCACCTTGTTGGCGGGCCTCCAGCTCCTTCATTTCCAGGTCATGGGTGAGCTCTGGAAGAGAAATCCAGCAGGACTGAGGAGGAGCATCCCACCCCTTCTGTGCTCCCCATATCTTCCTCTGCTCCCTTTGGGGCACTGGACATCACTGTGGCTGCAGTGATTTCTCTGCCCAGCCTTCATGGGAGTGTGGCCATCTTGGAGCACCAGCCACAGGCTGAGCTAAAAATAGGCAATTCTGGCAATTTGTATGGTATTAAGCAGCCTCATGGCTAAGACATTGTCTGCGGGATGCTCTGCTCCTCTGCCTTTCCTTTTTCTGAAAGAGCTGCTGAACCATTTTCAGTACTGTAAACCAGGACAAAGAGCAGAGCAATGGATTGAAAATAGACCAAAGTGTAAGCTGCCACCCAAAGCATTTCATAATTTACTGCTCCAGGCTGATCATTGCCTCTGCACGTGACGCAAGCAGGGATGGCCTCGTCCCAGCACGATGTGCCTGCAGAAGGATGCTGCCCTGCTCCAGGGCAACGTGGACCATCCAAATCCCCTCCAAATCTCAGGAGCTGCAGCACCCACCTGCCTGCTCAGCCCCAACACGCTGCCTCCTCTCTGCTGCCCTTTGCCTGCTCACTTTCTAGCCCCAGGCTACAGCACCAGGTCACACAGTGCAGCTCAGGGACCTTCTGGAGTTCACTTTACCCTGCACTCTTACAGACAGTCCCTTTTGAATTAATTATCACAGCCCACCCAACCACTAACAGCCCTGAGCAGAGGAAGAGAGTGGTAGCAGCAGTATTCAGCTGTTTGGGGGCTATTTTTTCCACTGAAAATGAGTTCAAATGGTTAATCTTTGCCCTACATTTTTCTTTTAATCTGCTTTTGTGTTGACTCTAATCCTCATCACTGCCATCCTTCTGAAACCGAACGCTTGTCTCAGACTGCTCTGCCTGTCTGTCTTGGAAAACAAATCTGTAGTGAGGAGGCAGAAGTACCTGAGACCGTAATGCAGTTTCTGGAAAGCGTTCAGCACTCTTGACTGCCCCAGTGGGAATCAATGGCCGTTGTTGTGCTATTTTTCTGAAGCTAAAATAATAGGTTTGGAGTCTCAGATATATTTCAAATGAAAACCAAAGCAGCTGCCTATTTCCAAAGACATCATCCTGCTGAGCAAGTGCAGGGATGATGCACAGCCTGGAGTCCCAGTTTCTGTGCTGGATCCAGGGGACTGGTGCTGATCTGCTTCAGTACCATCCCCATGACCCCTGAGGGGCAGCTGAGAACCACTGTGGGAGGGAGAGCCTTTCCCACAGGGATACCTCAGAGAGACCAAGGGGATAGTGAAAAAGTCAGAAACAACAGTGCCAGGGCAGCAGGCAAGGCTCCACAGGGCCACATTGAGGAAAAACTGACCTAAAGACTCTACTCTCCTCCTGCAAACAGCCCCCCAGATAATGACACTCAAATCTCAGGAAAGGCTCCTTAAAACTGCCCAGGGTTACCTGGCACTCCTGGCAGAAGCACACACCTCACCCAGGAGCACAGGACCCCTCTGGTCAGGTACAGCTGTCCTTGGGCCACACTGGGAAGGGGAGATCACCATTCAGTGGCTCATTTCAGCCCGTGGGGACAGACCCCCCAAGTTTGATTTAGGCAGGAGAACCCCACTGTTTTGTCTGCCTGAAGAGGTCGTAGATGAAACCATTAAAACAATGAAACAGAACAGCAAAAGCTCAGAAAGGATGGTGAAAAATAGCCAATTTTATCAGTGCAGACATTTCTTTGTTTCCCAGGAACCTGGGAGAATGAGAGGCTGGAAGACAAGGAGTAATTAGCTATGGCTGAATTATTGATGAGAGCAGCAGCACAAGCTGGAATGAGTTCCAGTGGTGGCAGAAGGCTGTGCAGCCATCGCTGCTGCAGGGGTGGCTGCAGGGGACTGTGACCCTGCTGCAGCTGTGCAGGGCCCCCAGCCTCGCCCTGCAGCCTCCTCTGCGCCCCTCTGTGAGCACCCCAGGCTGCCAGCAGGAGCCTTCCTGCCCGAGGAGCTCCCAGCACCGTGGCCGCCCAGTGCTCACCTGAGCAGTGCTTCTGCAGGCGCAGGATCTCCAGGTGCAGGTCGTGGAGCAGCTCCATCTGCTCCTTCTTCAGGAAAGCGATGTGCCGCTGCACACTCTGGATCTGGTGCTCCAGGGACACGGTCTCCATCGCAACCAAATTCACAGTCCAGGCCTGCAGGGAGTGGAGGTGGCTGGTGATCAAACGTGCAGCAGTGCCCCAGCCCCAGAGCCCTTGTGAGGGGCAGAGCCCCTGTGTGAGCCCCTCACAGAGGTGCAGGGTGGTGCCTCCTCTCCTCAACCCTCTCCACGGGGACTGTGGCTGTGGGCAAAGCAGCCCTGCTCAGCTGATCCCCAGGGAATGGCCTCAGCCCTCTCACCTTCCACTGCCTCTGGGGCCAGCTCCTGTCCTGCCTGCTCTGAGACTGCACAGGCAGGAAATCCTGCTGCATGAACCCTGGCATCACAGCATGCATGTCTGTTCTGAATTGGCCCCAGGAAATACTTTATCACTGAGTAGGATGCATCTGGGACAGGATTGCTCCTCATTGTCCCCAGGTGGGAGTTGCACCAGAGACGATTTTGGCTCTCACTTGACAAGCCCCACATTACACAGCAGCGACTGCAGCAAGCGATCCGGCACATGAAAAATACAATATGCTGTGTCTAACCCGATCAGCACTGCATGGCTGCGAGAGTCACGTTGTCTTCCAGGAGAAGGAACATCTTCCCTGGTAATTTGCCTGGCAAACAAGAGCTGCTGGCAGGCTGTGCCAGGCAGCCAAGCTGGGCTGGGCTGGGCTGGGGGTCCATCCCCATGTCATCAGTGGCTGTGGCAAAGCAGCTGCAAAAGGTGCCCACCTGTGCTGCTGCACGGAGAAATAAAAATAGCTCCTGAAAGAGCCCTCTATCCCAGGAAATACCATTTTGTGGTGTGTGGAATCTGTCCTTGCTCCCTACACACAGCCCAGAAGCAGGGAAGCTGCAGCAAATGAAGGTAACCTGGCAGAGTGGCTGGACTCAATGACCTGAGAGGTTTTTCCAACCTAAATGATTCTATGTGCCACAAGCCTGAGGGATGGAGTGCATCATCCTGTCCCTGGGCAGCTGTTTCCCACATCTAACTCCAGTTTTCTCTCTACAGACACTGCAGAACCAAGCGAGCACTGTGGCTCACTGTTCCAGCACCCCTGGCATGGTCACACAGGGCATTTTGCAATTCCTGCACCCGGAATGCATTTAAGATCAATCTCTCAGTACGTGGTCTTGGCAGTGCCCCAAGGTCAAAGCTTTGTTCCTGCCAAAGGCTCTGGAGATTTGTGACAATTCTACAGTCAGATCTCCTGTGTTTGATGAGGTGTGGGGTGCAGGCTGGTTGGGGACAGCTGAGCACCCAACCTGCTGGTAAAGAAATGATCCAAAGTGCATTGTCCTTATGGAAGGTGTCAAACCTGTGCCAGGGGGCTGGGGCTGGCCAGGCCATCCTCCTTGGAGGTATTTATGTCCTGATGCCAGTGCAAGAGTTATGAGAGTTATCTGGCATCTGCCAGAGACCAGGAATGCAAACCACACCATGGGTACATCCTCCTGCCAGCCCTGGCTGTGGTGGGCTGAGCTTCTTGATGGGAGTTGTGTTCCTCATCTCAGGAAACATCAGAAAGTAGGTTGGCCAAAGCCCAGGGGACACATACTGCTATTTTCAAGCACTTTGTTCTGTCTAGTAGAAATGTCTTTAGTAGAAATGGCTGCAAATTTTCCGTTGAACTTTCGCTTCTCCCCTTAAGTAGGAAATTGTTCTTTTTTTTTTTAAACCAATGAAAATGTTTTCCTTTAAAAATAGTTGATAGATTTCAAGCTGCAAAAAAAAGTCAAAGAAAAAAAATCTGGGCTTGAGATCTGTTTGTTGTCTCTGATTTGGAAGCAAAGAGCCTTCATAATTTACCTGTGTATGCAGGAAGAGAAGTCTGTCTCCAGAATTGCAATGGGAAATCCTTAGTGGGTTTGAATCAGCTTTGCCTGTCCAACATGACTTTCATGTTTTCTCTAGAGAAGCAGCTCTCAGCTTGTGGCAGGAACATCTGAAGCCCCACGGGGGGGAGCGAGCGCCTCGTTTTGTTTAGCCATGACCCTCCCACCAGTACTGAGGGCATGGGGCAAGGCAGGGGTGGGACACAGAGGCAAGCAGGGCAGGAGCTGCCTTCACTGGAAATGAGGACAATGCTGGAAACAGTCGTGCTGTTGCCCAAGAGCAGCGAGGGGAGGAGCTCTCCAGAGATTCCAGGGACCTGAGGCTGCTTCTGTTCACCATTTGCAGCCCCATGGCAGGGCCGTGTTGTCCCCTCTGCAGGTCCCACAGCTCTGCCTCACAGGTGATGATGCAAGAGCCAGAGCTGTTAAGGAAGATGCAATCTCATCCTGAGGCCTCAGTAACAGCAGTGTTGGAGTGTCCCTAACTGTACTCGAGGGCAGTAGATGAACATTTGCGTCACCGTCGCTGGGGCAGTGTCCACCTTTTACCCCAAAGGAGTTCAGAACCAAACTCTCAACAGCTGGTATCCTCCCTCTAATGCTTCTGAAGGCAAGTGGGATTGCAGCAGCATCCTGAGCCTTTAGTTTGATGTGTGCCTTCTGTCATTTCACACAGTTCCATCCTGGGCGGTGTTGGGAGTTAATAAGGATTAGCTGCTGCTGCTGGCTGATTTAACACTTACAGGGTCACCAGCTCCCAGCTGGTAACACCAAAACTCCCTGTGCCGAGGCTTCAGAACACCCACAATGGTGATGTCCAAAAGACTGTGCAGTGAACCGTGGCAGGAACCTTCACCCTGTGCCACAGGCACGAGAGCCAAAGCACAGTGAGTGGGGCTGTCCTTGCCAGCGGCTCCTGCTGCCCCAGCTGGGCTAGTGTGGCTCCCAGCAGGATGGGTGTACTGCAGGGAGCAGGGACACAGTTGGGGTCCCACTCTGATCCCTGCTGAGTGTGGCTCCCAGCAGGATGGGTGTACTGCAGGGAGCAGGGACACGGCTGGGGTCCCACTCTGATCCCTGCTGAGTGTGGCTCCCAGGAGGATGGGTGTACTGCAGGGAGCAGGGACACGCTTGGTGCCCCACTCTGATCCCTGCTGAGTGTGGCTCCCAGCAGGATGGGTGTACTGCAGGGAGCAGGGACACAGTTGGGGTCCCACTGATCCCTGCTGAGTGTGGCTCCCAGGAGGATGGGTGTACTGCAGGGAGCAGGGACACGGCTGGGGTCCCTCTGATCCCTGCTGAGTGTGGCTCCCAGCAGGATGGGTGTACTGCAGGGAGCAGGGACACACTTGGGGTCCCACTCTGATCCTTGCTGAGTGTGGCTCCCAGCAGGATGGGTGTACTGCAGGGAGCAGGGACACACCTGGGGTCCCACTCTGATCCCTGCTGAGTGTGGCTCCCAGCAGGATGGGTGTACTGCAGGGAGCAGGGACACGCTTGGTGCCCCACTCTGATCCCTCCCTTGTGCTGTAGCCACTTTCCAGAGTAGTTCTAAGATGCCAAGGCAACTGGTGGTGGAAGCTCTCACAGTGGCTGTACTCTGTGATTTTGATGAGTTATGTGTCAGGTTACAACCGTAGAAAACAATCTCATTCATAATAAAAGCCAGGAGTAAGTGATAGCAGTCCTCTTTAGCTTGAAGGATGCTCCGTGCCCTTGTGCTTCTGAGAGTTGTACGTGTGCACACCCAGCAGCAAAGGAGGCAGCAGTCAGCTGAGCAGCGTGGCTTGCCCCTGTTCAAAGGTGACACCTACAGCCTGAGCTGGCCCCTGCTCCATGCAGAGCTCTGGCTATACAGTTCTCTCCAGCTTTGGGGACTGGACATCCACAGGCTTTGCTCCACCACCAAGAGCTTTCCAGGAACGAGGTTCCCTTGCTGATCCCCCAAGATTTTGAGCACAGAACTGGTGAGGTGGCACTGGGCTCAGCCCCCTCCAGTTCCCCACGTGGACTGACCGTGGGCATGGTCTCAGCTGCTGAGCCTTCCTGTGCACCTGCCTCTAAACCACGTTTTTTTCCACACTTCTTGTCCTTTCACTATGCAACCATGACCTTTGGCACAAGAATATTGAGAGTCCTGATCTCAGCTGCTTCTTTCAAATGCTGGTAGAAAACCCCAGTGAGATTTACAATTTCATCCCAATTTATCAAATTCTTATTTCACAAACCAAAATGACTGAAGCAGCCTCTTGGAGCAGCTACAATGACCAATTCAGTTGCAAGTCTACCAAGAGATGATTACCTTTGCACAGACAGGTTGATTGAGAGTTTGCTTCCAGGGCAAAACTCTGCTTAAGTCTGCTGTTCAATGTAAATCAGAATCCCAAAGCTCTGACCCAAGAAAAACCCTCCATCCCAATGATGCATCTGAAAGGGAGATGCAGTATTGCATATCTGTGTACCTCTGTACACACCATGGTCACACCGTGGTCTAGCCCTTATCTGTGATTATTATTTCCCATAAATTGCAAATTAGCTGGGAGTCAGGGGGCATGAGGTTTGCAGGAACAGGTCGATAATTTGTCCTGCTGTGGCTGCCAGCAACCTCTTCTCCATCACATTGAAACATACGCAGGAATAAACACTGATACACACTAGAAATCCACAGTGCTTGGTATTTCCAGCTCAAATAATACAAACTGCAGCAGTGCCACTAAGCTAGTGTATCTTTAAATGTAGGGAAATCAGGCAAGCAGGAGGCTCAGAAACTTGCAGAAGGTCACAGAGGCAGTGGCGATGCCAGGAATAGAAAGCAGAGGTGAAATCCTGGCCTTGGAAAAGTCAGTGGGAAACCTTCCCTGATCTCAGCAGAGGCAGAATTACACTCGGAGTGCTGTTTGCTATTCATTATCTGTCAGTATCTATTTACAGATAAAATCAATACAGATGGTGATTATAAATTATTGTTTCTTGCAATTCTCTGAGCACAACCGCCTGAGGAACAGCCCCGGTGACGCTCGTCAGGGGGCTGCGGAGGCTGAAGGCAAGTCCGTGCTTTCTCCTCCCGGCTCCGAGGGAATTCGCTATGGATGCAGCTCTGCTCCGGGAGAGGAACCGGGCCCTCAGCGCCGCTCCGGGCCGATCCTCCTCCCGGCGGGGCCCCCGCGGTGCCGCCGCTCGCTGGGGCTGGGCAGCGAC